TCCCTGGTCTTCCCGAAGCCGGTGATGAAGCAGGACCTGCCGGTCTGGAAGCGCTGGCCGTACATGGGAAGGCAGGCTGGGCGAACCTGAGCTGGAAGGGAGACACGATGGAAACCAGGCGAGGAGAGCGGGGTGAGTCACCCCAAAGCAAAAGAGCCACTGGAGTCACCGGCCCTGCAGCTAGGGAGGAGCGTGGGGCGCGGGAAAGGCTCCCCTCTGCGCCCATCCATCCCAATAGGGTCCTGGCTAGTCCCCCACCGTGCTGCCTGCGGTGTGGAAACAGCAGAGCAGGATGCTCCAGCCTGCAGCGGCCCAGGGGATGGCTCTGAGGGGACCCAATCTGTCCCTCCAAACCCCAGGCCTCACCTGAGATCGTCAGCGGCCTGGGGAGCTTCATGAGAGCGATGTCGTAGTCATCGTGGTCGTCGCTGTAGTTGGAGTTGATGATGACCTGGGAGACGGCGATGCCCTCCATGTGCTGCTTCAGGTCCGAGACCCCGCCGTACACCTTCCAGTCATCGAGGATCTTCATGCTGTTCCTGGGCAGGGAGAGATTGGGGTAAGAAAGGAGGGAGGTGCTGGGCAAGGAGGGAGATGCTGCAGCGGGTCGTAGTCATCGTGGTCGTCGCTGTAGTTGGAGTTGATGATGACCTGGGAGACGGCGATGCCCTCCATGTGCTGCTTCAGGTCCGAGACCCCGCCGTACACCTTCCAGTCATCGAGGATCTTCATGCTGTTCCTGGGCAGGGAGAGATTGGGGTAAGAAAGGAGGGAGGTGCTGGGCAAGGAGGGAGATGCTGCAGCGGGTATCCCTGCACCACCCAGCACTCACATGAAGAAGCAGTGGGCGGCGGTGAGGACCCACTGCGCGTCGATGATGGTGCCGCCACAGATGTGGATGGGCCCGTACTGCACGCTGACTTGCCAGGGCCATTTGCTGATGGAGGTTTCCTTCCCTCCGATGATCCGGCCCGAAATCCTCTGCCCGCAGGCTGGAGGGGAGAGCAGGGCTCAAAGCCTGGAGGGGGACACGCACAGCACCCCCACCACCCACAGCCCCCACGGTGCTCAGTGCATCCAGTGGGGATCGTGCAACCTTCATAGCTTTCTATTATCCCAAAAGTTCACTGGAAAATGCCCTACTTGCCCAACCCCATGTCAGGAAACGAGGAAAGCGCTCCCAAGCACACCCAGCCAGCCCCCTTACTTGTGCATCGCAGAGAGACGTATTTTCCTGTTAGACACTGGGAGCTGCAGGAGAGAAGAGGCAGAGGTGGCCTCAGCCCCGTCCCTGCAGCACCAGGGCAGGGCCAGGGGGAACACAGCCGGTACCTGTTGAGGCTCTGCTGGATGGTGTCGCGCTCCTCGCTCACCGAGAGGCTCTTGCCGGGGATGTGCAGGGGAACGTACTCGGTCTGTGATGCACTGGGGGGAGAGGAGAGAGGCAGTGAGGGGCTCCCTGGGCGGGCATCGATCCCCTGCTCCCTGCCTCAAAGATGCTCTGAGCACTAAAACTGATGGGACATGGACTGAAACTGATGGGACATGGACTGAAACGCCCAGAGCAGCACTGGCATGGAGCCTTCCAGCGGAAAAGCACATTGCTGGGGGAAAAGCGCACGGGATCATGCACCCAGCCAGGGCATGAGGACCTATCCTTGGGGAATTACTTCTGAAATCCCAGCTGGCGGCAGGTCTTCCTGGAGAAGGATTCGTCCCAGGCGCTGCTGCACAGCTCTCCGTGCTGGAGTAGACGTGGAGCAGGGACTCATCGGAGGCGAAACGCACTGTGGGGATGGAGCAGGGGGTCAGCGGCACCCAGCGCCCTGGGGGTCCCTGTGCCCCCACCATCCCCGGTGGTGCCTCACCGCAGCCCAACTCGTCGCTCCGCTGGGAGCAGTCGACAACGCCGTCGCAGCGCACGGGGCTGTCCTTGCAGCTCTCGGCTGGCTCCTTGTACACGATGCCGGTCTGCGACCGCCAGAACATAACTGGAAGCAAGCGCACGCCGTGGTGAAGCCGGTGGCAGGGGCTCACTGTGGGCGAGGGGGCTGTGACCCACCCGGATGGGTGCCCCACCACCCACCAAAGCAAGCCCAGGAGAAGGAAAGCGCAGTGCAGCCCCCCCTGTACCAGCTCTCCCTCCCACTCACACAGCAGGATGAGGGCGATGAGCAGCACAATGAGGACGGAGACGCAGAAGATGAGGGCAAGGCGTCGCTGGCTCATGCAGGGAGCTCTGAACATGGAGGATCCTGGCAGGAGAGCGGATGCAGGGTCAGGAGGAGCATCTTCCTCCCTGGGGTTTCCCTCCACCTCTCCCCACCCTGGGTGGGACCGGGGCCAGAGACCGGCACCATCCTCTTACGTGTGCTCTCACAGGTCACGCAGGGGCCCGGCGCTGGGCCGGTCTCGGGGCTGCAGGGCTTGAAGCTGATGCCCAGGACGTTTTCTCGAGGCGGCGGCGGTCGGGCACCGAAGATGCTGCTGGTTGTGGAGGCATGGAGGCTGGGAGGGATGCTGCTGGGCGATGCCGTGGGCTGCGGGGAGGGGAGACCGTCACTGGCAATGGCCATTGCTCATCAGAGAGTCCCTGCAGCCATGAAGGCAAAGGTGATGCAGACCTGAGCTACGCGGCACATCCAGAAATCGCCACTCGTGGCTATTCCTCCACAGCACCACAAACTGCATAGGGAGTGCCTCCTGTACCAAAAGCTTCTAGCTGTATCCATCCAGGATAGCCAGAAACCCCTTTGTCGCAGAGCTTTTCCCCTTTAGGTGGCTGCCGGCCACATTTCCCCAGTGGATGGCTTTGATGGGAGCAATCATCCGGGTATTTCACATTGGGTCAGTCACGCTGTGGCCCAGTTCCACGGGGCTAGTGCCCCAATTTATGCATCTATCCTTAATTAGCCATTTGAAAAATACAGTGCAATTTCCAGCTGTTATTTAGTAATACTTAATAATCAGTGTTTTCCAAGCCCTGAAACGTCCTGCACCCTGGAATGCTGTTCCGCAGTTGTGTCACTCTCGATCCGTGAATTTGCAAAAGAATATGCATTTGTTTCCTTTCCTCAAGACACG